CCCTCTATCTCACAATGACTGTCCTGAGATTTTAACCAATGCTAGCATAATGGGAACAAGCAAAGATGATAAGCCATACCAATAGAGAGTACCATGGCCTTATGACGGAGTGAGTTTCTTTTGTTTTTTCTTAGTTTCATATACTCATAGAATCTGAGGAAATTATGGGAGGCACTGTTTGCATTCCTGTTGGGGGCAGACTTTGTAGACTAAATATTCGTTGCAGTTTGGTGCTGCTTAGTAGCATACCCTCCTTTGAAATTTTAGCCTTCTGCATTTTCTTCTGTTAGTCACCTCCATGAGTTTCAATAGAATACACTGTGTATATGAATATTAAAATTTAATCTTTAACATGAGCTTGGAAACTTTATTCTGTGGGCTATCAGTGTCCGAAAGTGGGTTAGCAGAATTTTGACCTTTTTTTAATGGGGTGTGTGTGCGTGTATTGGAACAAGCCTAGAATTGTGAAACTAAGAGAGGGTGGGTTTGGGGGTGGGGGTGGGGGGGTGCAAGGGAAGGGAACTCCTCACGCCCCCTGGCAGGATTCTAACATTGTCTGTGTGGTAATTGGTAAACACACCCATGATATACCCAATTGTAATGTCTATCAGTGTAACGCTGCATTGTCCCTATTAAGTGACATCACTTGGAGAATGAAATTAGTGTCGTATATGTCTATCAGTGGATCCACTGAAGTTGTTTTCTGTAATACTATTATACTGTTAGTGATTAGCCAGAGGAACGATTCTTGGGACTTCAGCTGTCAAAGCCAGTCAAGTAATTGTGGGCATTGTGGCAGCCAATTGAAAAGCTAGTCATAAATCAATTGGACTCAGTAGTGGTAAATTTTTGGTTGGATTCAGGAGACTTTTAGCTTATTTTGTGCAGGATTATCAAAATTCTAAATAAAGAAAAGTCAAGACTTTGCTCTCTTATTGTACATGCAGAAAAACTTTAAAGTCACTAAAATTTTGTTGCGTCAACTAAAAATTCTTTATTTTGCAGGGAAAATACATGAGCTTGGCGCATATGGCATTAGTAATTTGAAAGATCACAGTAGCAAGAGACGCAAATGCCTGAACGATTTCATTTCCCTCTATGGTGCTCTTCCTCTTGTATCAACTAATGTAAAAGCTTTGGATTCAAGAAACGTATGGTTCTGGTAGCTGTTTTTATGTTCTTAATCCTAAGTTCAATTCATCTGACCTCGATGTTTTGCTCATAGGTTGTTGTTACAAGTTCAGTTACCATTGTTGGTTTCCTTGATCATGCGAAGTCTGCATGGCAGGTCCTAATCGTACTGTATAATACAGCTGTGTATATCTGTAATGTGATCGTAATTATGCTAGTTATTAATCAATCGGAAGTAGTTTTGTACGACACCAGCTCAGTATGATTTCGTCATTGGTAGCATATTGCGTCTGTCTCGCAATCCCGAGTTATGTAGCCCCAAGGAAAAGAAATCCAACTGTCTACTTTTCTATACTTCATTGATTTTCTTCCAGTCTTATCAGTGCATCACTATCTTCCGCTGATAATGGTTGTTAAATTATTGAAGCCAAAAGCATTATTGGGAGTGGACATGAATTATCACGGACATAGATACTGACATTTGGTGCATAATTGTTTGCAAATTTATTATAATTTATTAATTCAACTAATGGCCTTTATTCTCAGGTAAGTGACAAGTTTGCAATTAGATTTTGCAAAATTTACTCGTGCTTGATTTAAATTACTTGATTCCAACTCGAGGTGTAATTGATATTAAATCACCAAAATTTGATCACACTAAGAGTCTGTTCTCTTCAGCTTAATTTTAATTCAGTTTAGTTTAGTTTTTAGTTTTCTTCGCTTATAAATAGTTCAGTTCAGTGAATCAAAACAAGCCCTGAATAACAACTCGAAATAAATTGACCTATCTAAAAAGTAGATAATGTATTACACTCCATATTGAAGTAATTAATTATACTACACTTCGTATATGAATATGACCCGATTTGAATAGTCTATGAATAGATGAGTAAAGACTAAATACGGTCCCTGAACTTTCGTATTACGCTCACTTTTAGTCCCTCAAAAACTATTTGTGCCCTTTTAGTCCCTCAACCACCTTCTTTGGTGTTTGTCAGCCAAAAGTTGAGGGACTTTGATGACTAAGCAAGAGTTTAGGGACCATGACTCATTTTATTTTTTGTTTCTTTTTCTTAAGAATTTATTAAAAAATAAATCTTTTAATTATTTGTTTAAAAAATATTAATAAAAAACCAGGCACCCTTAAAAAGGCCAGCCACCTTTCCCCTCCCGCTGCCGACAGCCAGCGCCGGCGACGGCGACCAACACCACCAGCCACACCCACCACACGCACCACCAGCACCATAAAAATTCAACAAACTCCACAAATCAATCGATCATACAAATCAAAACCCCTAATTTATCACAAAATCATGAATTCTACACAAATTATTCAACAAATTGGGCAAAATCATACTTCCTCTGCTTCTAAATCATAATAATTAAATAGTTAAATAAATTAATCAAACATTATCAGTTGCCAAACACTTTTCAATCACGATAAACTTCACAGACCACCATCACCGTCGATCCTGCTGCCCTCATCTCAACTACCCCTCGACACTCGTTGTCGTCGCCACATCTAGACCACCGTCGTTGCTGCCATCCCCATCTAAACCACCACCGTACCCGCCCTCTTCTAAACCACCCCCGCTGCTACTCGACTCTCTTCTAAATTAAACTACCACCCCGCTGCCATCGTCCAAACCACCACCACCACTGTACCACCCATATTTATTCCTTAAAAAATGGCTTGAATTTTTGAGATCTGAGGAAAGAAAATCAAGAAATCCCCACCCTAACCCTAACCCTAAACCCGCCTAAGCCTACAGCCACCACAAACCCAGCCTAAGCCACGCACCACCACCAGCACCACATGCACCACCACCAGCACCATCACACAGCCACACCCACCACACGCACCACCAGCACCATCACTACCCAAAAAATTAAAAAAAAATTCCTCAACGTACCTTATGAAATTTTCAACGTTTGGTTTATATGGTTAAATTCGACCATGAAAACCTTAAATCTGGAATTTTCATGGTCGAATTCGACCTAAAAAACCATTAATTGATAGTGGCCGAATCCGATCAAAAGCCCTGGGGGTGGGTGGCGCTGGACTTCAAAAACCAAGGACAGAGAATGAGAAGGGAGGGGGGAGGCGGATATGATAGAGAAAGTGGGAGGAGGGACGAGGGAGGCGGAGATCAGAGAGAAAGAAACTGAGGAGATGGAGAGGAGAGAGAATGAGAAGAGGAGGCTGGGTTTAAAAACATATTAAAAAATTAATTTTTTAATAAATTCTTAAGAAAAAAAAATGAGTCATGACATGGTCCCTAAACTCTTGCTTAGTCATCAAAATCCTTCAACTTTTGGCTGACAAACACCAAAGAAGGTGGTTGAGGGACTAAAAGGGCACAAATAGTTTTTGAGGGACTAAAAGTGAGTGTAATACGAAAGTTCAGGGACCGTATTTAGTCTTTACTCATGAATAGATCCGAGTAGTAGATTAGATTATTAATTAATATTCTTATTCTGTGCCGTGCTAAATACTCTGTGAATAATGCAAATTGATTGATGGGATTAAACCCACCTTAAAAGTAATGGCACGAAGCTTGAAGAGAGTGTCTAATCTCAGAAGAGATGAGCCAAAGATCATACATTTTAATCGTTGAAAATTTCATAAAGTTTATGCACCTTTTTGCCTTTTGTCTTTCTCAACCTTGAATTTCAGAGATGTGAGTTACATTCTTTGATTACTTACCAAGGCTATAATAGCAACTTTATGTCCCACAAAATTTTTAATTGCTATCCCTTTTTTTTCCATACTTGTACGACAATATTGACAAGGCTAGAAAGAAACATATTCATTACTAGACAAACTTTACGTGGGAAGTTTTCCTTGCGTGTTTGAGACGGGGTACGCTACTAACTTCTTTTATATGTAAGAAGTAGAACATTTTAGACAGCGTAATTTTCTGTGTTTTTGTCAATGTAATTACTCTACGTGTTACGGTCTTACTATATAATTATATTAATCAAATGATAATGGATTGTGTTCAATCTTCCCTATTCAAGCATACAGCTATACTTCCATGTCTTTGTGATATGATCATATCATATCTAATGTGAGCTGTAACAATGACTTATTTGATCATTTCTACCCATGCAAATGTTGAAAAATCCTTGATTAATCTCGCAAAAAATGACATGGTTGACTAAGTCTAAAAGTGTATATATTTCATACAAAAATTATATGGTAGGAAAAGAATTTCACAAATTTGACTTGTATATAAAGTGAGTATTTTTTCTATAGTAATAGTCGGCAAAATTGATTATAGAACTGTGCTTCTAAAAAGGTGGGGTATTAACAATTAAAATGAAGTAAAAAGTTGACATAATGGTGAAGAATTGTCAAACCAATACAAGGAAAAAAAAAAAAGATAAAAGGTTGGGTGTTTTTTTCTGGTTTGTTTGCTTACTTTAGGTGAATATTACAATTTGTTGATTTAAGTATTAAAGCTTAAAAATTGAGACTAATGAAGAAGCAAACAAGAAATAAAACCAACCCTATATCTAACCTCATAAAATTAGATTTTTTGCATCAAAACAAATCTCACACGTGGATAGCTTGCTTGCTTGGACCCTTTGTTTAATTAAGTTAGACTTAAAGAGTACTATTTGACTCTAGTATCTTAGATTTTCATATTAAGTCTTTATAGAAGCCAAAAACATTTAAACCAACCATTCAACATATTAGAGATGAGTGATACGTGTAAAATTTGTTCAATTAAATTAATACAAGAACAATTTTATGAGTTTGTAATAAATTAGTGACATGTTCTTAGATTGATTGAAATAATAAATTGATAAGTTCATACATAAGTATGATAAAAACGAAGAGTTATTTCCTAAAAACATTTTCTACCTACTTTTAGCCAAATAAAGTGGATATCACATGCTATACTCATTGTTTAAGCTAGAGCCTTAAGCCTTAACAAAAAGTACAATTTATTCTTAATCTTCTTTCAATTAATCTCCAATGAAGCATATAGGAATCTAACTAATATAGATAAATAGCCAAGTCAATCTCTCCAAATATAAGTTGATGGTAATTTTTCTTCTTAAACATCAAACACTACAAGTAATACGCATCAATTAACTCGGAACAACTTCCTTACAACCTATAGCCGGGATAAACAACGTGGTCCATGGATAAAACTCATAAAACAGCTCAAAATCCAAATCTCGTCCAAAAAAGAAACAAAAAGAAAAAGAAAAAGAAGGCAGGTAAGAGTACAGAAAACGAGGGAGAAAGAGAAAGAAAATATACTCTTCTTTCTCTCTCCTCGAGTAACAGAAGCAGCTCCTCTGTCTTAATTCCTAAATTAGTACTTTCTCTTTCCTACTTTTCTTCTTCTCCAACGGCCATTTTCACAATACCATGACTCTTTCACTCTATCAATTTCCCAGATTTATCAAAACCCCTTAATCATCATCTTCTTCTTCAACCTTCAAGCAATCATCAATGGCGTCTTCACCATCTTCAAACCCCAACTTTCTCTCTCCTCCTTCACCTCACCTTCACCACCACCATCATCACATCACTGCTTCTCGTCTCCTCCCACCTCTCCTCGGTGCTACCCTCACTTTCTCTCTCCTCTTCCTCTTCGCCTCCTTCTTCCGCCGTTTCTTCCACCGCCTTAAACGCTCCCCTTCTCTCTCCTCTTCTTCACCCACCCTTCCTCGCCGTTTCTCCTTCTCTACTCTCCGACGCGCCACCGCTAACTTCTCCGCTTCCCGCCGGCTCGGTCAAGGTGGGTTTGGGTCCGTCTTCTCCGCCACCATCTCTGTTTCTCGCACCCGGAAGCTAGCCGTTGCGGTTAAGTTGCTCGATTGTGGGTCCCTTCAGGGTGAGCGTGAGTTTCAGAACGAGTTGATGATTGCGAATAAGCTGGTTGAGTCGGATCGAGTTGTGAAACTTCTGGGTTTTGCTTCGTCTCGGAAACGACGTCGTATGTGTCTGGTTTATGAGCTTATGGTGAATGGTAATTTGCAGGATTGTTTGCTGCATAGGAAATGCGAAGAGTTGATGGAGTGGTCTAACAGGTTTCGGATTGCTGTTGAAGTTGCTCAAGGTTTGGCATTTTTGCATCATTGTTGTGATCCTCCTGTAATTCATGGTGATGTTAAACCTAGTAATATTTTGTTGGATGATTGTTTTAGGGCTAAGATTGCTGATTTTGGACTTGCTAGGTTAAAATTGGGGGAAATTAATGATGGGGTTGTTGTTAATATTGCTGGGGATAATCAGGGGATTAAAGGGGGTTTTAATGCTAGTGTTGATAATGTTGTTAATAATGCTAATGTTGGTATTGATTGCAATAATAATAATAATAATAATAATAATAATAATAATAATAATAATAATAATAATAATAATAATAATAATAATAATAATAATGTTGATGTTGGGGTTGAGGATACTGGGTCAGTGATGGAAACTGAGAGTGTGACTACTACGGTGGGGTTTGAGGAGGGGAGTGTTGGGATTGATCTGTCTCCGATGAGGATAGAGACCTCGCCGGAGATGGTGACTGCGAAGACGTCTCCTTCAGAGTTTAATGATAAGGGGTTTGATTTAGAGGGTCAGTTTAATAGGATGGATTTGGAAGAAGTTGGGAAAGAGGTGGGGAAAGCGCGGAGTTTGAATGTCAGTGGAGGGGGGGCTGGGAGGGTGAAGGATTATGTGATGGAGTGGATGGGAATGGAGGTTGGGAGGGAGGGTTTAGGTAATGATTGTAATAATGGGGGAGCTTCTTCGAGCTCTGTAGTGCCCAAGAAAGGTGGGAAGGCGAAAGGGAAGATGAAGACGTTGGATTGGTGGGTGTCGATGGAAGAAGGGTGGAGTTCGAAGAAGGAGAAAAGGAGGCCGGCGAGGGAATGGTGGAAGGAGGAGTATGGTGAGGAACTTGCAAGGAAGAAAAAAAAGAAGAAAAAGAAAAAAAAGAATCAAGAGTCCAAGAGTGATAATGAGGAGAATTGGTGGCCTAGGGATGATGAGGTGTATGCTGATAAGAAGAACAAGATGTATAGTAGGAGTAGGAGGAGCAGCCGGAGTAGTGTTGATTGGTGGTTGGATGGTTTTAGTGGAGATCTTAGGAAGGCCCGTCACACGAGCTATGATTCAATGAGTGGGGATATCCCCAAGAGTGGTGGGATTAGTAGCACCCCTAGTATGAGGGGGACTGTGTGCTACATTGCTCCTGAGTATGGTAGTGGTGGTGATCTCTCTGAGATGTGTGATGTGTACAGCTTCGGTGTGTTGCTTTTGGTTCTTGTTGCTGGGAGGCGGCCTCTGCAAGTGACTGGCTCACCCATGTCTGAATTCCACAAAGCAAATCTTGTTTCATGGGTACGTCAACTTGCTCGTTCTGGAAAGCTCCTTGATTTGGTTGACAAGAGAGTTCGTTGTTTGAACAGAGAAGAAGCTCAACTCTGTATCATAGTTGCTCTCATGTGCCTGCAGAAGTCACCAGCTCGTCGGCCTTCTATGAAAGAAGTTGTAGGGATGCTCTCTGGTGAATTAGCTCCTCCTCAGCTTCCAAAGGAGTATTCTCAATATCCTTTCAGGTCCCGGAAAAAGAATTTCCGGTGAGGTTTTGTTCAAAATGCTGCAAATTATGGTTCAACACTATACCTATTATAGGGTTACTTGTTAGCACCTAGCCTTGCTGATTTTTTAGTAATTTTTTATCTGGTGAGGGATTGCATATTCTTATTCTATTGAGAGTTCTTGTACAATAACTGTAACTCCTAAAACCTCAATGTTGAGTTTACCTTCTTGTACAGCTATAAGTTATACTTGAATGAAAAGAAAACAATACACGTGCTTTGCAAATCTTTTGTCAATTAGGATTAGATTAGCTATTATTTCCTTGAATTCTGGCTGTTTGAAATCATTCATGGAATCATGGTACTAGCCATCAAGCAATCTTAACCTGTGAGCTGTGACCATGTGAGAATCTATGTATTGGATATTTCTGGTGTGGTTACAGACCACAGGTCTTAGTAAATCTTTCTGGCTTTTGCCTTTCTGTTGTACTGATTCTTTCCTGGGCAGTAGGGAAGGAGAATATATCTTCATTTTTTTTTTTTTTTTTTTTATTTTTGCAAATTCAACACTCCTTTCTGATTTCTGTTATCTATCAATCTTGTTGTCAAGCCTAGGCTTTGTCTTCTGTTAAGTGATATTGACACTCGGTTAAATTGCTGATGCATAGGAATAGAACATTGGCACACCAAACACACATGAAGATGAATTATATAGATTTATGACCAATTTTTGGACCTAGCTTTGCATTTTTGTTCCCTCTTTTTGTCTTTGATTTTGGTAGATCTGCTACCTGGCTTAGATGCTTGCTTTATTATGGATCGCCCTGTATATTGCTTAGTCTGGTACAATTTTTTTACACTGACTTCTGCTTCCTTGCTGAATCTGGTATTGATGCTTACCTTTTATTTTCTTTTACCCTGTTATTTGTTTCTCTACTGAGTCTGGTATTGATGCTTGGTTTATTCAATTCTATATTCTGCATCAACATTTCCCACAGTATCTTCATTTGTCTGTCAGTATATAGTGAAGTCCCTGCTCTTGAGCTGGATTTTTCTGGATTTATATTATTGACTTCTTATTGCTGTTGTATCATTGTCGTAGAGTAATTATACGGATATCTCATAGTTAGGCTCCTATTCCAAGGAAGATCAATTTTCATTGTTCTCACTGCAGCATATGTTCCATGTATTATGTATGCTTCTTAATATATGGATATCATTCTGGGTTTTTTTTAGGAACGTAGTTTTTAGTGGGGAGGACTATTGGAAGCTGATTTTGAGCTTCTACTTGAACTATGGTGACATGTTTGATGCAAAAGTTATTTATTCAGTTATATGTAGCTGGCTTTGAGATTGTTTTGGTTTCTAGAACTGCTGTATCCCCAGACTGTTTAATCAAGGCGCAAGGGACTGCAGGATTGTGCTGCAGCTCTATGAAAGTGTAAAGGTGCTGAATCTTTGTTCTGGGGCTCTCTCTTTAATCCTTTGTGTTAAGTCATGTGTATGATCTGAATACTGATCATTTGGTTCTAGTTTCCTGTACTGTTTAGCCTAATATTTCATCTACTACTATTCTGAATCAGGTTTCCAGGCACGATATGAGCACCACTGGCTGGGTATAATGTGACCTTCCAAACCGCTAAAAAAATGCAGGTCTGACCCATTCATTGGCATTTTTCTGTATTTTCCAGGTTTCTCCATTTTATAGAGGGGTTAAGCGGTTGCTAATTGCTATCACAAAGATTCTGGCTTCTGCATTAAGATGTAAAAGCTGCCTTCTAGAGTATGCTGGTTTTACATCATTCCCGTCATTCATGTGGATAATTTCTTCTGACTTTGTAGAATCTTTATAGATAGTAGTTATTGAGTTTGTGTTTCTACACTTTGGAATAATTTGAGACCTTTTCTACGTGCAACCAGTGCCGAGTCTGGTACCACTTTAGATCTTAGATGGTCTGATGTGTGATGACAATAGGATAAATTGAGGTCTCTTAAGTGCAACATGGAGTTTATGCCACATTCCAGGCCGCAAAAAGTCAGTCCAAATCCAGTAATGTTGTGTCGTGCCTGATCAGAATGAATCGCAAATTGAGCCAGGCCACCATGAACAACTCTAAACGTACTGTCATACTTCATGTACAGTTGGAATTCATTGCCGAGGCCATGAAGGGCTAATGGCAGTGTTACTAATAGCTACTGAAGTGGGCTTCTCAGCAGCTATTTCGTGAATCGTGACTGATGATAGCTGATTCTTGGAGGTTGGCCTCTAGAAGTTCTTTCCTTTGGACATTGAAATGTCAAATATCTCACTATTTTTATGCCATGATGATGTTGTCACTCTTTCTTGACTTGTTGGTGTACATTGGTGATGCCATGATGATTGTGCCTCTTATTAGAACTGTCAATTCGGGTAAACAGCTCGGGTAAGAGTGGGTCGGGTCAACTCAGGTTGGGTCAATTCAGATTAATTCCATAACCTATGCGGGTCGGGTTTGGGTTAGGTCATGTTTGAGTCGGGACACGTTGGGTCATACTTCTTATCGGGTTTGGGTCAGTTTAGGTCGAAATAATAACAGGTCGGGTTACATTCGGGTCGGGTGAACAATAGGTAGGGTTTAATTCGGGTTTTCACGAGTTAAAACGGGTTAGGGTAATTCTCGGGTTAGAGTCGGGTTCGGTTCAAGTCAATGATTTGCAGGTTAGAATCAGGTCGGGTCATTCTCGGGTTTGAGTCGGGTTCGGTTCAAGTCAATAATTTGCGGATTATAATCAGGTCGGGTCATTTTCAAGTCGGGTTATTCTCGGGTTCAAGCCAGGTTCGGTTCACGTCAATAATTTGCGGGTTATAATCAAGTTGGGTCATTCTCGGATTCAAGTCGAGTTATGTTCAAGTCAATAATTTGTAGGTTACAATCAAGTCAGGTCATATTTGGGTTCAACTAAATATAAATTGATAATTATCATTTTTATCAAACTAAATATTTCCTTTGACTATAATATATATGTCAGTATACCAGGGAATTATAGTTTATAATTCAGGAAGATAATTATCTCCTTTGACCATACAACAAATATATACTATATTTAACTCTTAAATTTGAGGATGATGCTCCTTTCTTTTGCTGGCCTGGACCGACTTGGTCTCCCAACACAAAATGCTTTGATCGACAATAATAAAGTGGTCTAAATTGCATTTAAGGTGATTTGAAATCGGGTCCGGACCAATTTGGGTTGAATTTAGGTCGAGTCAATAACAAGTAGTATTAACTTTGAGTCGGGTTAGTAACTGATCATGTTGAATTTTTGGTTTGGGTAAGTAATGGGCATGGTAAAATTCGAGTCGGGTTGAATTTGGGTCGGGTCAATAACAAGTCGGGTTTGATTTCGAATCGGGTTTGTAACAGGTCGGGTGAAAATCGGGTCGGGTTAGGAACGGGTCGGATTGAATTCAGGTCAAGTTAGTAACAAGTCCGGTTAAATTCGGGTTTTGACGGGGGTTTTGGGTCAATTTCGGTTCAAGTCGGGTTCGGTGCAAGTTAAATAAATTGGTCGTTGTAAACTAGTAAATTGGTCGTTTAAAGGCAAATTGGATGGTTCCACCAACCCAATTGGACTCCCGGGGGCTACAATGGACCATGATAAACATTTCGGCAATTTTTATTTCCGGGCGAAAAAAGTCAAAAAATTACAAAATTGATGGCTAATATCCACGCTTTTTGAGAAATTTCGGACGTTTCGGGGCCCGATTTCGAAAAGTCTTGAAATTATATGAGATACATCTCGTGGTCATATAATGCCGTTTGGAACCATATATGATCATTATTTGTTGTCATAAATGTTCGTGGTATGCTTGTATTAATGAAATCGATGCAAGTTGTAAACCGGTAAATTGGTCGTTTAAAAGCAAATTGGATGGTTCCACCAACCCAATTGAACTCCCGGAGGGTATTAGGGACCATGGTAAACATTTCTGCAATTTTTATTTCCGGGCGAAAAAACAAAGTTAAAAAATTCCAAAATTAAAGGCTAATATCCGCGCTTTTTGAGAAATTTTGGAGGTTTCGGGGCCCAATGTCGAAAATTCTTGAAATTCTATGGGATACATTTCAGGGTCAGATAATGCCTTTTTAAACCATATATGATCATTATTTGTTGTCATAAATGTTCGTGGTAGGCTTGTATTAATGAAATCGATGCAAGTTGTAAACCGGTAAATTAGTCGTTTAAAGGCAAATTGGTTAGTTCCACCAACACAATTGAAATCCCATAGGGTATTAGGGACCATGGTAAACATTTCGGCAATTTTTATTTCCGAGCGAAAAAAAATCAAAAAATTTCAAAAATTCCAAAAATTGAAGACTAATATCCACGCTTTTTTGAGAAATTTTGGAGGTTTCAGAGCACAATGTCGAAAAGAAAGGAAATTTTTGGGGATACATCTCGAGGTCATATAATGTCGTTTGGAACCATATATTATCATTATTTGTTGTCATAAATGTTCGTGGTAGGCTTGAATTAATGAAATCGATGCAAGTTGTAAACCGGTAAATTGGTCGTTTGAAGGCAAATTGGATGGTTCTACCCACCCAATTGAACTCCCGGAGGGTATTAGGGACCATGATAAACATTTCGGCAATTTTTATTTCCGAGCGAAAAAAGTCAAAATTCCAAAATTTAATGCTAATATCCACGTTATTGAGAAATTTTGGACGTTTTGGTGCCCGATGTCGAAAAGTTTTGAAATTCTATGGTTTACATCTCGGGGTCATATAATGTTGTTTGGAACCATATAAGATCTTTTTGTTGTTGTCATAAATGTTCGTGGTAGGCTTGAATTAATGAAATTGATGCAAGTTGTAAACCGGTAAATTGGGTGTTTAAAGGCAAATTGAATGGTTCCACCCACCCAATTGAACTCCCGGAGGATATTAGGGACCATGGTAAACATTGCGGCAATTTTTATTTCGGAGTGAAAAAAGTAAAAAAAATTCATAAATTGAAGGCTAATATCCACGCTTTTTGAGAAATTTTGGACATTTCGAGGCCCAATGTCGAAAAGTCTTGAAATTCTATGGGATACATCTTGGGGTCATACAATGCCATTTGGAACCATATATGATCATTTTTTGTTGTTATAAATGTTCGTGGCAGACTTGAATTAATGAAATCAATGTAAGTTGTAAACCGGTAAATTGGTCGTTTAAAGGCAAATTGGATGGTTCCACCCACCCTATTGAACTTCCGAAGGGTATTAGGGACCATGGTAAACATTTCGGCAATTTTTAT